GAGATGTCCTTCAAAATGGCAATTCATTTCCGGGTCACTACCGGAGGACTGAGGAGTCGAGGAGGGGAAATTTGAGTATTGAGAAACCTCTTATGTCTGTGGCCATTGTGGGTCTGCTTGTCCTCCATCTTGTTTACTCAAGCTTCAGCTCCAAAAGCAGGAAGAGGGAGCCACCGAGGCTTAGACCATTTCCCCTGCTTGGAAACTTGCTTCAGGTGGATCTCAAGAGACTCGACCGCTCTCTTGTTGGCCTACAGCTCCTGGGGCTGGAGATCTCATGGCTGTCATAATTGTTACATTAAGTCCTAAAACAATGAATGTGTTTGTTATTCTGCTGTATTACAGATATACAACGCGTTTCCTTGGCTGGGACCTTGTATTAAAAACTGGAGGGATTTGATGAAACTGGTGGAGGACAGCATAACGGAAACAAAGAGCATGATAGCGCCAGACCTGAAGGAGCCGGACCTGAAGGAGACTCTGAACCTGCTTTGTGGATGCATTCCTGACCCGTAAACAAAATCTGGAGGTAATATGTCTAACTCCAGTGAAACCACCCCGCTTGATGATACTGATCATTGATTAATTTGCCTGTGGCCCTGAGAGATCATCACACTGCAAATTAAGAAAACACATGCAAAAAGACACAACAGGGTAAAATCTTTACCACACAACGGAAACAGTTTCTGGATGACACATAAAGTGATCCACGCGCAATAATCATGTTGTCATGGATTCAGGACTATAATGTTTTGAATCTCATTTGGTCACGTGTTGCGGCAGGTGTAATGCCATAATAAAATGGTCTGTAGGTATTATTATATCTGAATCATGTGATCACAATAATAGAGAGCTGACTGTTACTCATATAAATGTCATCCAGTTAACTTGCTGAAACTCTTGGTTCTCAAAGGTCGCAGGATGTGTCCTGGAGAGAGTCTGGCCAGAATGGAGCTGTTCCTCTTCTTCACCTTTTGTTTCACTCCTCCACCTGGAGTTACAGAGGATGCACTGGATCTCACTCCAGTTATGGGCTTCACCCTGACCCCTTCCCCTCATGAGCTGTGTGCTGTCAGTCGCTACTGAGGACGAGAGCCAGTCACTTGTAGTCACTCAGTGGGCCACGATGTGGGAGGGGATTTTGCGTGAGAATGCTGCATTGACATTTTACCGGTTTGCTAAAAATCTAAGGAACCCTGATGGTATACAACCGGAGCAATTATTTTAATCGATTATATTGAAGGGTGACAAAAAAGTAAAAAATAATAGGGGGAAACAAATCATGGTTATACTTGGATTTAAATTGCAACAGGTATCACTGCCTTTGTCTGTCACCCCAAACCAACAGGAGGAGGTGTGCCTGCTGTAAATTCCACACTATTCCTTCCTTTAAACTACTACCAGGCCACTCAAAAGGGACCTCATTAAGCATACATGTTTTCATCCTTTTGTGATGTTTTCTTCCCTGTTGGCAGACCCAATGACTGTCATCTTTCAATCTTCTTATCACTCGGTAGCCAGCCGTCTCTCACTGCTCCAGTATGAGCTGCTCCGTTTAAATACATCTTTATTTGATAATGCAGCAGAAATGACACATAAATAATTAAAATGTTTTTACTAACCTCCCCTCCCCCCTTCATTCCTATTCCCTCCCCCATCTTATGCTTAGTTATTCATATTAGTATTTTGGTTTTGGTAAAATATGCTAACATACATTTTAAATGTTACCATACTTTTTCTTGTTCAGTTTAATTGTGGTAGTTCTGGTTAAAGATTAAAATACTGCTCTTGCATGTCAATCCTCCAGTGCAGGTCATTAGATGAATTGCACCTTTTAGAAATGCAAGTGTATTCATAAAAACAAGTAAACCCTGCTGTATACTTAGAATATGTTTGCTTCTCACACACTGCCTCATACATGTAAACAGGAAAGTGATTTGTTTTATAATACTCTTTATCAGTTAGCAAAGAGATATGAAAACTAGCAGGGTATGATTCTAGTTGTTGTGATAGAAAGTGTATGGATACAAAATAAGGAAGATTTTATATATATTTTTGAATCTGCCTACTATGGTCAAGATGACACATAAACATATTTTTCCTAAAGCCTTGCATTCTATTGCTGTTTTTGTTCTCTTTAAATGTACTTTTGGTAATAAAATTTATCAAAATAGGAAATGCTATAGAATATGTTTACATGAAGGCTACTTAGGTCCTTCCACTTTTAAAATATTGACTTGCTGATCCTGCAAAGAATGGTTGGAGTTTATCACTCGCTATGTGGAAACAAGGCAGTCCTGGAGAGCTGAACAGCTGTTTGGAAAGCAACTGTTTTATTTAATGCTTCACTGAAAGTCTGAGAATGTGACTGGCTGCATGTAGAGACATATGACTGTTTACAGGGGGCATGAGTATTTGACTGGGTGGGTAAGAAGCTGCAAACAACTGTTTATATGGGGTAAATGGAGTAAGTGCTGTTCTCAGCATTAATACATAGTATACACCTATTCATGCCTGTTATACAGTTTACTGTATCGCAGCAGCTTTACATCGCTCAAAACAATTTTGCTTGTTTTTCTCACTCTCACTTCTTTAAAAATCCTGCCTGTATTTTTCACATCTTGCATTTGAATAACTTAATTATGTATCATAAAAATAAAATGTATTATTGTTATTATTATGACAAATTACAGTTTGATTAAATCTGTGATCAGCTGGCTGACCTGAAGAAATTAGATGGGTGTGATTGGTGCAGCATTTACAAAAGGAGGTGGGGACTCTTGGTCTGCAGTACCGCCCATAGAGGGGTGAAATAAGGTTATATGTGAGCAGAATCTTTCAGCAGATGGGAAGAAAGGGAGCCCTGTTTCTGACGAGACGTATATCCCTTCATTGAACTTTAAAAAATAGCTTTAAAGAAGTTTTTCTAAAGTAAGTCAGGTACTGTAGACAGCAGGATCATGTTGGAGGATCTTTTCCAGTCTTCAACTTCACTCTTTTTATCTGTGGCCATTGTGGTTCTGCTTGGCCTACACTTTATTTACTCAAGCTTCAGCTCCAACAGCAGGAAGAAGGAGCCACCGGGGCCTAGACCTTTTCCCCTGCTGGGAAATCTGCTTCAAGTGGATCTCAAGAGACTCGACCGCTCTCTTGTTGATGTAAGAAATGTGTTGTTTGTCTTAAGCTATGTGGTACTTTTATTTGCTTTAATACAAGACAAGAAAGTTGTATTTAAAAAATGCAAAATGCACAATTGTTAAGTCAATTACATTTCTTATAGAGCACAGTCAGTCTCACTATTACTTGCTTCTTTCTTTTAGCTGTCCAAAAAACATGGACCAGTGTTTACATTTTACTTAGGAATGCAGAAGGTGGTGGTCCTGGCAGGATACAAGACAGTCAAACAGGCTCTGGTCAACCATGCTGAGGAGTTTGGAGAACGAGAGATCAGTCCGTTAGCCTATGATTTCAACCAAGGACACGGTAAATAAATGTTTCTTTGTTTGTTGTGTTTTACGAGACTGTTTTTGTCATTGTCTGAACATGTCAACCACTCCTCTCTCCAGGAATAATCTTTTCAAACGGTGATGTGTGGAAAGAAATGAGGCGTTTTGCTCTAAGTACACTAAAAGATTTTGGGATGGGCAAAAGGATTACTGAAGGGAAAATCATTGAAGAATGTGGCTACCTGATTGAAGAATTTCAACAGCATGAAGGTAACATTATCCTAACTAACAATGAACAGTTTTATACAGCAACAGAACCTTGAATAAGTTACACAATTCCTCTTCTTTTCTTAGGTGAAGCCTTTGATAACGCCCATACGATGAATTACGCAGCTTCAAATATTATATCCGCTCTCATGTTTGGAAAGAGATTTGAATACAAGGACCCTGAAATCAAAGCTATGTTGGAAAGAAACCACGAAGTCACCCGTCTTACGGGAACAGCATCCCTACTGGTACTACAGACTGATTTCAGATTGACTAACTTGTGATGATTACAAGGAAAACCTAAGGTTTAACAACCAAATGTAAACAAAAACACTATTCTAATGAAACCAGCTGGGGCTTGAGATCTCATGGCAGTCATAATTCTTACATTAAGTCCTAAAACAATGAATGTGTTTGGTATTCTGCTGTATTACAGATATACAACGCGTTTCCTTGGCTGGGACCTTGTATTAAAAACTGGAGGGATTTGATGAAACTGGTGGAGGACAGCATGAAGGAAACAAGGAGCATGATAGCTGACCTGAAGGAGACTCTGAACCCTGACATGTGCCGATGCTTTGTGGATGCATTCCTGACCCGTAAACTGAGTCTTGAGGTAATATGTCTAACTCCAGTGAAACCATGGCCCACTGATAATACTAATCAACAATTCATTTACATTTAAACCCTCTTTCACTGGCCATCAATAGCAACACACTTCAGATTAAGAAAACACATCCAACTAGAAACACAAGTAAATAAATAAAGTCTCCACCCAGCTTAATCCAGTATGGTCGTTGCCAGGAAATACGCTGGATTTAGAAGCAAATTATCATAGTGGCCAAACGGTGGTACTACATCTTTGGTGTTATGGCGCATTTCCACTACAGCGCGGAGCTCGCTTTAAGCCTGCAGTGCCGTGCCCGGCCCGTTTTTGGTTGCGTTTCCACTTGGCGTAGTTCCGGCTAGCGGGTACTATTTCACTGTTTTACTGGCCCCACAAAATCGAGGTTCTTTCCGGGCCAACAACCAGGCTGAGTTGGGCTGAGTAGTCTATGCTAAACTAGAGAAAGAATCGCTGGCAAGGGGGCTACAACTACAACAAAATGAACAAATTTGACCGTGATTTCATTGTAATACATGTTTCAAAATGATGCCAAAGTTACAACATACTGATACCGGTTAGTAAAAACCATGATTTAATGCTTTGACAAGTCTGCAGACAAGACGGCAGGCAAAAAAACGTTTAAAATGCGTGTTTTCCCAAATGGAGATCGGCTAAGCTAACGCAGTATATGCTCTGACCGTCCATACTCACAACAACGGCCTATACAGACATAAATAAACCAGTGACTGTATTCGCCATGACACAGACAGTCTGTGGTTTGTACTTGTTTAACTTTTGTCTAGTTTCTGAACAGATATGAGGAGCTGTGACAGCTAATGTTGTTTTTCTGTGGTTTTCATTTGATGATGACGTCACAGCTCCGCCTACACTGCATTACTATAGTTACTGCCCCAGCTACTAAACTGTAATGGAAACGCAGCATAAAGTGAGCCAGTCCTAACAAGGCCTAACGAGGCCTAGCCATAGAGAGCGAGGCCCTGTAGTGGAAATACGCCATTAGATTAGGCGCATGGGTGAAGAGACGTTTGTGTATCCTTAATTGGAGGCGGAGCTTCTACAAAACACAAGTGTACATTCTCTATTTGCCCAGATATGGGCTGCGTCTCACTTCTGTTAAATGGATTCCTTGCGTCCCTCACTTGCGTCGTTTCCCTCCCACCAGTGAACCATGAGCCGCTTTCACACCAAGTACTTTGTAGTTCCCAGCACTTAGTTCCCAGCACTTAGTACCCCATAGAACTAAGGGCCGATCGCGTTCACCAGGGGCATCGCCTGGACCTGAAAACATTTGGGGGTTAGCCCACAGAGCGGCCGCGGCTACAGGGGAATTTTCTACTGCAACACTCCCCACACGCACACACAGTACACCCCCGACTGTTACAACGAAGGCTCGATAATCAGCTCATGGCATATAGGCAGGGGTAAATTGCAATTTTTTATGAGTGGGGGGCGGACCTCACCTCCTCTAGGGGGGTCCGGGGGGATGTTCCCCCGGGAAGATTTTTTTTTAAATATTGAAGTTAAAAGCATCAATCTGGTGCACTTTGAGAGCAACATTAAGTGATTTATGGATACATCTCTCAACACCCATTATGAAACAGAACTGTAAACAGATTTTCTTTTTCTTTATGGATATCTTATAAATCACTCCCCTTTTAAACTCTATTCTTGTTTTACTGCCATAGCCTATAGTATTTCATAACTGTTTTTCCTTTATTCTCTTATTTTTTTTATAACTATAATGATCATATGAAGGTGTGTCCAGCTTGTTGTGGAACAAACAGCTCCTTATGTCCGTTAGTGCAGCTAGCTAACCAGATGCTAACAACACGGTCCCTGCTGGCACCGATCTCTCTCTCTCTCTCTCTCTCTCTCTCAATTCAATTCAAAAGCTTTATTAGCATGACCATATTTACATACAGTATTGCCAAAGCTATGTATATATCTCTATATATCTATATTTACTGTATATATATATATATATATCTCTCTCTCTCTCTCTCTCTCTCTCTCTCTCTCTCTCTCCACACACACACAGAGCCGAGCTTGAATGACACAAGCACACGTTTATTTCAATGCAACTCTCTGATTGCTCTGTTGCATTCACTGAATACGGGAAATTACAGTCCTGCAGTCCTCTCTTGTGTCATGATGAGGTTCACGTAAAGCACGGTTAATGTATTATATTATACAGAAAAAACATTCGGGGCTGGCGTTCACACCATGGTTCACACTGGAATAAGTCCCTGAGGGAAGATTACGCAAATGAAGCCGCTGACGTCACTTCTTCTGCTTTGGTTTTATTGGCAGGCCGGAGTTGGGGACTGGCTTCAGTAGAAGCTGCTGGGACTCCTAGCAGCTTCTACTTCACGCCGACACCTCCTCATCACTCCACTGCTCCCATGTTTTTTTGTTTGTGTTGCCATATGGTTGCCATAAATTATTCTCTCTCCGTTGGTGCGCGGGGCTAATGCTAATGCTAATGCCAGCAACCTCTAGCAGGCACTAAAAATGGGGGTAAAAGTTCTCTGAACTAAGTTTGACCACTTTGTTGATACATTAATTGAAACAAAACACAGTATAAACTGAGGAGTGACTCCTGTGAGGTTCATGTGTTTTCTTCACTCCGCTGGGAAACTGCTCTCATGTCAAGAAGCAACAGATCAGTGCATGCGCTGCATCGTCCAATCAGTGAGCGATACACAGTAAGGGGGCGGGGCGAGTGTCTGAGGATTTCACCGGAGGATGGTCTGGTAGTTCCTCGATTATCGCTCCTCCGTTATCACTCCTCAATTCTCCGGCAAAAATAAGGCCACTGGTACGGTACTCAAGATTGCGCTACCAAGACCGAGGAGCGAGGAAATGAAAAATAAGAGAAGTGAGACGCAGCCATGGTCATTTTTAAACTCAATATTTATGCCATTTCACCTTCATGCGCCACTGAGCAACTTTCATAGGAATCAATGGGATCCTTTATTGCTGTCATGTCCTCCCCATAACGTGCTATGTGCATTAAAGTCCCTGCATCCCAATACCCTCTCCTTCACTTATCACTTATGTCTCTACAGCTACAGTATGACTGATGGTTTCCTATAGGCTATACTCACCTCTCTAAATGAAATATCTTCTCTTGTAAATGTTGCACAATTTACAATGTATTGAGCACAAAGGCCAGGCCACTATTTACTTTTCTGTGTGTCTTTATTAGGAGGCTGGTGACAAAGATTCACACTACAATGATGAGAACCTGGCTTACAGTGTGATAAACCTGTTTGCTGCTGGGACTGATACAACGGCAAATACACTTCAGTGGTCTTTACTTTTCATGGCCAAGTACCCTCAGTTTCAAGGTGCATAAACAGACCATATGTCCGTCTGGTGAAATTCAGTTTACAGTGTTTCAACTTGAACACCATTTATTTGTATTTCTATATTGATCCAACTTAATCTCAATGTTATCTGAGTCCAGACAAGGTCCAGGAGGAGCTGAGCAGCGTGATAGGAAGCCGTCAGTCCAGAGCTGAGGACCGGAAGAACCTGCCGTACACTGATGCTGTCATCCATGAGACACAGAGACTGGCCAACATTGTCCCCATGGCCATTCTTCACAGAACTAGCCAAGACGTCACCTTCCAGGGATACTTCATCAAAGAGGTCAATTGCCTAAATACGTTTGCTTTGAGTAAGATATTGTGTGCTTTGGTTCCACAATTTAAATAAAACCACCTTGCTCTCTGCTTTCTCCTACAGGGGACTTGTGTGCTTCCTCTTCTTACTTCTGTCCTGCAGGATGAGAGTGAATGGGAAACCCCACACACTTTCAATCCTTCCCACTTCCTGGATAAGGAGGGTAAATTTATCAGGAGAGACGCCTCCATGCCATTTTCTGCAGGTATAAAAACCTTTTATAGATAATACATACATACATACATACATACATACATACATACATACATACATACATACATACATACATACATACATACATACTCATAGAAATGTCATCCAGTTAACTTGCTGAAACTCTTGGTTCTCAAAGGTCGCAGGATGTGTCCTGGAGAGAGTCTGGCTAGAATGGAGCTGTTCCTCTTCTTCACCTCCCTCCTCCTGCGTTTTCGTTTCACTCCACCACCTGGAGTTACAGAGGATGAACTGGATCTCACTCCAGTTGTGGGCTTCATTCTGACCCCTTCCCCACATGAGCTGTGTGCTGTCAGTCGTCAATGAGGAAGAGAGCTAGAGCATTGCAGCCTCCATGTCACCCTACTGGCCCAGAAGGCACTGCAGGTTCTGGTCCAGATTATTCACACTGTATAGAGTTCTGCAACTCCCTCCCTCCATCTCATTCAGAATGCAGCAGCCTGACTGGTCTTTACACTCCAAGTTCTCCCACACTTCACCACTCCTTATGCTCATTTTACTTTATACCAATACTGTTCTACACTGCTGTGAATGGATCAGGCCCTTCTTTCATCCATGACATGGTTAAACCGTACACTCCAGCATGTGCACTTTGCTAAAAAGCTAAAAGCTAATGTACTTGCATCATTTGTAGGTCACTTTGGATAAAAGTGTCAGCTAAATGATATGTAATACGATTGCCTTGCTTTATGCTGTACACATTTGTATGACCCCACTGCAGTCAGCATGTCGTTGTGTCCCTAGGCAAGACACTTCACCCCAAATTGCTCCTGTGGGGATTGCCCACAGTATTGAGTATGTAAGTCGCTTTGGATAAAAGCGTCTAACAAGTGACATGTAATGTAATGTACAGTATGTACAATATATTCAGACACTGCCTCACACATTTAAATGGGAAAGTGGTTTGTATTTTAATCATGACTTTATTTTTTATTTCTTTCATTAATCATATAGGTATGAAAACTAACAGTCAGTAATGCTAGTCGAGATTATACAAAAATAATAGATAGAAAAAAGGAGTGACAAAGGTAGTGCCTGCAAATAATCATTCCATTAATCATTGCCTATTGTAAGGACGCATCATTATTATCAACACATTATAACTAAAGTACTGCATTCTATTGCTGTTGTATTTTCTTAAAATGTAAAAAATAAATACATTTTAGAATTGCTACAGCTTCTGTTCTTTGTAAAAAACATGTGTATATTAAATGTATTATGTAGAAGCACATCCAAGCCCCTATGGTCCCAACACATTATGGCATCTGAAAGCTACTAAGGTCCTTCGACCTTGATAATATTGATCTGCTGATCCTGCGACGAGAGGTCAGAGTTCATCACCGGCTGTGTGGAAACACTGCAGTCCTGGAGAGTCCTTGCCGAACAGCTGTTTTGGAAATCAGCTGTTTTATTTACTGCTCCACCGAAAGTCTGAGAATGTGACTGGCTGTATGTAGAGACATAGGACTGTGTGTAAGGAGGCATAAGGGTTTGACTGGGTGGGTATGAAGCTACATAAGCTTGTGTATGAGGGGGAGTGTGGGTAAGTGGGAGGTTCTCAGCATTGCTACATGGTGGAAAGCCATTCATTCTTGAAGGACTCAGTCCAGGCAGTTTAAAGGCCTCTACATTTTCTAAACTCTCTATAGAGTTGTAGTTTGGCTGGGTTTGGTTGCACTGAGTGTATGTGCCTGGACTGAAGTTGAAGGTGTCTTGGCTGAAGGAGGTAGATGCAGAAGCTGCTGGCAAACCAGAGGGTGAGGGAGTTTTGTTGTGCTGCTGCTGAACGACGCTAGAACGTCCCAGATTGGTGGCCATGCACTGTAGTGTGCTGAGGATCTGCTTCTGAATGTGTGTCTGCTGCCCCTGCTCCCTCTCAAGGCGGCACTGCTGCTCCACCAGCATCTTCACTGCCAGACCCAAGCTGCGCACCTCTGAGCCCAGGGTCTGGATCTGATCCTGAAGACCACCTCTCCCTCCAGTGTCCTGGACTGCTTGCTGGGGGCTCGGGTTCCCCTCACTACGAGTTCCGCCCTGGCCTCCTGGGGTTTGTAGACGAATGAGGGCAACCCCAGGAGCTAAGGATGTTGAAGGTGCTATTGGGCGGTTAGGAAGACGAATGCCAACCCGAGGGACAGGGTGAAGGGAACGCACAGGCGGACCTGGTCTTTGTGTGAGAAAACGCCTGGTGGTGCTACCTCCATCGGACTGCCCCTCCATAAGAGTCTGTGTACATGACAAACAAAACAAAACATTACAAAAGTTAACATCTAGTTAAAATAAAACATAAGGGCACTTCCACAAACCATAGTCTGTTTGGCTAGTCCAAATTGGAGTGAAGTTGAGACTTTTATTTTTTCTATAAATCCTTGTACGGTTTAACACTGCACAAATGTAAGTACTTCTTAACTTCTCACCTTTTCAGTGGTCAGATCACACGTTTCGGACAGTTGTGGTATTGAACTTCTCATATTGGCAGCATGGACACTGGAGGGATCTCTCCTCAACAACGACGCTACCTGAGGGAAAGACTGTTGAAAACTGTTTATGCAGGTTATGACTAACAGATATTGAGAAATTATTTATAAGTAGGTACCTTCACCCTGTGTGCCAGCGCTTTATCCAAAAGCCTTTTTCGAGCTGCCAGCATTGAATTGGTGGCTGGAGAAGCTGTTACTCTCCTCCTCATCAACGCTGCAGCAGCTGTTAGTGTGGAAGACACAGAAGTCTCTGCTCTTGCTACAGTGGACTGAGGAACTGTTTGATGGCAGCTCTGTGCAAGGGAGGTGACACTTACAATCTGGATGTCATTTTCTTCCTTATCTCCCTCCTGTTGCATTTCTGGCCTGCTGCCTCCACTTGTCACCCCAGATCCAGATGGATTTGCACCAAAATCTGGATTTGTGGAAGTCTGTTTGAGAACATTTGAAGCAGCTGCAAAGCCAGCATGATGAGATGCATCCCGCAGAACATTTTGAATTCGAATGTTACTCCAGCCCTCTTGTATTGCTCCGGTTCGATGCTGTATCTGTGCGATTGATGTGCTTCCTCCAGTCTCCATAGGTTTAACCCTCCCTGGCGGCCTCCCTTGGAACTCCCTTAGGAACAAGTAGATTGCCTGGGCAGAAACCTTGATGTTCTCCAGCTCCAACACAGCTTTGATCTTGCGTAAACTCAGACCAGCCTTCCGCAGCTCCACCACTTTATGTTTCGCGGCATCATCCAACCGGCCCATGGTCTCTCACTCCAGGAAGGCTCTTAAGCTCTGAAATATTTATATCATATATTAGAAAAATATCGTAACTAACATTTGTTGTATGGTTTATGCTGAGAAATGAATTAACAAAATGAGAAGAATGTGTGACAATAGGTGCTGCATCTTTGGATATGTTCTACTCTATAAAATACCAGTTACTTAATGCAGTATAGTGTGTAGCTGCCTCAATTACATAACATTTGTTCTCACGCCATCCCTAATTTTATAAGAATAAATAAATAGTTGTATCATGTTTTTTTTACCTAATACCACGTTTGGAACAATACAATGTTTCTTGTTATAACACAGTAAAATCAACGTATCCCAGCCAGGCAAGCAACCTCATAAAATACTGAATACTCATGCAAGATTATCATATTATATACTTTTGTCAATATTAGTTTTTTTCCTCTAACATCTGTACAAACCAGATGTTAGGTGAGCTAGCTACTAGCTATTTTAGCACAGTGCCGCTATACGACAAAACGCTCACCTTGCAAACAAGAGGGCAGATGAATTGGTGTTTAAATAATTTCACGTACTATGATGACATATTGAATCTTATCATAGACACGATGTAGTCACACAAAGGTTTTATCGACAACATAAATAAACAAATGTACGTGGCGCTCGGCTAACTACGTCACTTCCGCTTTTTCGTCATCACTGAGCGACTCCTTTCTCAGGCCGCGGCAAGTGGTTGAAGCTAACCACGTCGTTTGAAAAAGATGTAAGTTAAGCCTTTTTTTAAATTAAAACACCGCTTATTTAATTTCCATTACATTTGTAATTGTTTAAAGTGAATTGTGTCGTGTTTTTTAACCGCTTGTGCACTAACGAACAGCCTATACATCGATAAATCAACAGTGGCTAGGTCCACCTTGTTTTGAGCAGTCAGTTGAATTAATTTCAATGGCGGCGGGTTTTCCGTTGTCTGCGGTAAGGCTTACTAGTCTCACATTTCATTGATTAATTCATGATTAATAATACTAATAATGTTATATACTCAATCCACATATAACAACATTTTAAACTGCTAAACATCTTAAAATGCAAATAATGTGGTTGTGTAATTCTTGTAACGGTACAGGCCAGGGGTTAAGCTCCGATTTGCTTAGTGACGGTATAGTTGGATAGATAATAAGTCTGTATAACAACTCACTCAATGCTCCATAGTTTCTCTTTTGAACTGGACTTATAACTTCTCACTGTACATACATTTACCATTTACATTTAATATGCCATTCTTGCACTCTAAATGTTTAATAATATCCCATTTGTATATTGTCTTGGCTGTAATTAAGCCCTTCAATATTGTTTTATTTTTCAGAGTTTACACATTGTTTTTTCACGGTCAACTTTTATATTTTCACTCTTAAGTCTTTTTTATCTTCCATTTTGAGATGTTTATATTGTATAATTGTTTATTTTCTATTTGTTGTATGTGCAATACTTGTTTTACATGCTGCTGCAACGATAACATTTCCCAATTTTATTAACTATCGATCGCACATTTTGAAATTGTTACAGCAGCAATGTGTTCAAGCATCAAAGTCTAAAAATCTTTAAAGTTGGAAACAAATAAGTAAAATAAAAACAATAAACAGCATCAACTCTAATTAACTTGGTCTCTAGAGAATCGTGATCTGCATATTTCACTACTTACGGACCTTTTACATCTACATGTTAGAGAAATTGTTGTTTTTTGTAGCTCCATAAAGTTTCTGATCTCAAAGTAACCTCTTGTTTTAGGGCACCATCACCTACAAAGCGGAAGGAAGAGGAAAAAACTAAAGACAGAGGCAAAGAAAAGACTAGTACCAAGGAAGGAGACAAAGAAAGAGGACGGGACAAGGCAAGGAAGCACCGCAGTGCTTCCACTGGCAGCAGCAGCAGGTTCGTTTTATTATTTCTATCATAATTAAGGTTTATTTGAAAATGAAGTGATACTTTTTGATACTAACATGTTTTTTCTTTTCTTTGACGCTGAACAGGTCCAGATCTAGTTCTACTTCAAGCAGCAGCTCTGGTTCCAGCTCGGGTTCCTCCAGTGGATCCAGCTCCTCTGGCTCCAGCCGCTCGGGCTCTTCCAGCTCTCGCTCCTCCTCCTCCAGCTCCTCAGGCTCCCCGAGCCCCAGCCGTAGGCGCCATGACAACCGCCGCCGCTCCCGATCAGCGTGAGTTACTTCTTCGATTTCAACTACACAATAATTATACTCTGTGATGTCTTGTATTCACACTTGTTTTAAGTCGTGATAAAATCAATGATTTTGTATTGTTTGTGATTCTGCAGGTCAAAAACACAAAAAAGGGGAGATGATAAGGAGCGGAGGAAGAGAAGCCCAAGCCCCAAACCAACTAAAGTTCACTTAGGCCGGCTGACCAGAAATGTCACCAAGGTAAGCTGAGGATTTAAAAAAAAGTGTTTAAATGGCAGAACGTATGATATAACCTGATTTGGCAGTCTATTTTATGAATTAAGATAATAACAGAATTCCTTCACAGATAATCAAAGTTGTCTGTTACATGGTTCTGATAATCATGCTGTCTTTTTTTACACAGGAACACATCCAGGAGATCTTTGCTACTTATGGAAAAATCAAAATGGTTGAAATGCCATTAGACAGGATCCACCCGAACCTGTCCAAAGGCTACGCCTATGTGGAGTTTGAGACTCCCGAGGAGGCCCAGAAGGCCCTGAAACACATGGATGGAGGTAGGCCAACATGTTTCCTTTAGTGCCTCTGCCTCACACCTTTACACCCTGCATGTGTGTTTAATAGCCTTCTGTGATGACTTTGCTCTGATAGGTCAGATTGATGGACAAGAAATCAGTGCGTCTGCTGTTCTGGCCCAACGAATCCGTCCTCCACCGCGTCGCCCATCTCCCCCTCGCAGAATGCCCCCCCCACCACCTATGTGGCGTCGCAGTCCACCACGCATGAGGAGAAGGTACATTCAAGGATTTAAATTCAGTAGTCATGTTAATTGGTAGCTGTGCCAATCAGTAACAATTGAGCTTTTCTGAATATAAAAAAGACATGTTGCTGTTCTTTGGGTGAGACCATTGAGTCTGCTAATTCTTCCATCATAGGTTTTTTTTTGTCCTGACAACAGCTGTGGGCAGGGCCAAAATGTTTTTGGATTTTTTGTCTCTGTCTTTCCCGTTGTTGTGACCGTGATGTGTTTGGCCTGCCTTGAGAGAATTCTTCAAACTTTGCACAAATGTCCTCTTGTTAAAAGAGTTTCTTGCCATTATGCTGTACCATAACCCAGGCCATATTTCATATTTAGTTGGAAACTGAATTGACTTTGCTGATTGTATAGATCATTTCTGCTGCCGGGTTAATGATGAGTATGTGATGCATCCTTGTTTCAGAATTTGTATTTTCTTTGTAGCAACATATATTTGACCCATTGTTTACGGTCATGGCTGCAACTTTCTTTTTATCGGCCAAGTATGTGTACACATACAAGGACTTCTCCAAGTGAACTTGGTATGATAGACATTCAGCAGAACGACGACAACAAAGCTTAACAAAGTCAAGTCAAATAGATTTGATGTATTTATATCACCATTTAAGAAGAAGCCCTTTGGGGTTTCTGTGCAGAAAACAACATACTGTATCCTTAGACCCTCAACTTTGATCTGCTACTCATTTTTGTTCATCTTAATACTGCCGGCCAATGCAGTCACACTGTCCACATTCTTTCTGGAGAGGGTGTCCGTGTCCGAATTTTCATTGAATCTTGTTATCCTTGCAGGTCCCGCTCCCCACGGAGGCGCTCCCCAGTACGGCGCCGCTCTCGCTCCAGGTCTCCCGGTCGCAGACGCCACCGCTCTCGCTCCAGCTCTAACTCCTCTAGATAGGTGCTTTCCTGCCTCCTGACACCAAGTGATCTCTTAGAATCTGGGACACCAGATCAGCTGGAGTTCTTCCTTTCCAAGATCCCATGGACTCATGAGAAATGAAACTGTCTTCATTTTAGCCAACATAAACATCTAGTTGCATGTAGAAGTGGAAACGTTTTTTTAATTTTTTTGTGAAAATGTGAGTTTCTTTTCATATTTTTTGTTGACCCTGAAAGGCTGTCTCGGCTGTTGAGTTTGCGCTCCACTACCAATCTACCAATATTCTGTTCAAAGTGAGACTTCTTTTTACCATGTACTAAATTTGAGATGTTTTGAAAAATAAAATTGCTGAAACGTACTGTTATTTGATTTTTGTGTCTCATTTGGGTAAAGATTCACACAGGGAATTTTAAACATTTCAGTTGTTGCTAATAAAGGTCTGTTTGGGCCTGTGCACACGCATTTCTCTCAATCTCATGAGTTTTGTTGCACCGGTGAGGCCTCTGTTCATCCTTGGGTTGTACACATGTCACGCTAACTCAAATACGTCTATGAAAAGAATGCAGTTTCTTTTTGAATGAAAGCTTACATTTCTCAATATTTTCCAAGTCGTGCCCCACTGACTCCCAATCCACACAATATGCATTACTACACTGGAAAAATAAGAAAAACCTAATGTTATTACATGTTGGGGCCTCTACTATTTTCTACAAATAGTCTAATTAAACTTTATTTGTGGCCTTATCTTTTTAAATAGTTTTTTCGTCATGTGAGACTGACTCTAAATCAATGCAGCATTGTATAGCTACAGTGAGCAAGAAGGACTGCTTTTTTTTAGGGGGGAATTTAATTTAGTCTATCTTTTATTTCTATGTGTGCAGCTAACCGTCCTTTCGCTGCCAGATATCCAACATAAAACTAACTTCATTGTGATTGAAGGAGGAGGTAAACAGGCCATCACTGTCTGAGAGGCGTATCGTGAGAGCGTCTCATACAATAACAATGACCGCTGGAGGTCTCACTCCGTAGAAAGAAACATACAACCTAAATGCATTTATTGTTGCGTCTGGGCTTGGTTTCATAGCGTCAACACTGAACAGCCCCATTATTCTTTCACCCTCCGCCTAAAAATGACAGCCTTGTTTTAAGTTATTTAAGCGCGTTACTTAGTTCTACCCCCATCGCTACAACGGGCGGAAATTTTACTTTCGATGCAAGACAGTTTGAGGTTTTCAGCCGCTGTGCAGGCGTCTCGGCAGAATCGTGAACAGCATGGCTTCGGATCAACACGAGATCAGGGAGCGTGTGAAGCAGCTTTTGGAAAAACCTGGGAATGGAAACTGTGCCGACTGTGGAGCTGCAGGTAGGCTGGAGGACAGTCACTGACAGATGATGACAAACTGATGTGAAAACACATATTTTTATATTATATATGGTCAGAGGTGAGTAAAAGTAGTTAGTAGTTAGCTACCAGAGTGTAGGAATACTCTGTTACAATAAAAGTCCTGCATTCAAAGGATACTTTATTAAAAGTACAAAGGTATTAGTATCAACAATATACTTAAAGTACCAAAAGTAAAAGTACTTATTATGCAGATTGGTCCATTTCAGAGTAAAATATGATATGTTTTGATTATGATTATTGATGCATCAAAGTGTTATTAAAGCTGGTAAAGGTGCAGTTTGAATGACTTTGTATACTGCAGGTTAGCTTGTGATTTTACTCCAGGTGTAATTAAAGTCTTATTTAAGTGTTGATTATATTTCACATTATTAATCCAAATCTGCAAAGTAACTAAAGGTATAACATAAATGTAGTGGAGTTAAAGTACAAGATTGACCTCTGAATAGTGATGGAGTAGAAGTACAAAGTAGCATACAATGGAAATACTCAAGTAAAGCACAAGTATCTCAAAATTGTAGCCTTTATGAATGTCCTACTTCATTGTTATTTCTGTGGGGTTTTACAAGCTACAAATAGTTAACTTTAAACCAGCATTTCTTACAGTGTATCTTGTACTTTCTCACAAGGTCCTTAAGTTTCTCTTCTCTGACCTGTAGCCTAGGAAAGGCATGGTTATGAAATACATGACAGTTGACATAACGAATGTCCTCATATGTGAGCAACGAATTTGGAAAGGTTCTTATGGAGGAAGCGATTACATATTGTATTGTATTTAGTGTATGGATGTTAATATAAAATACTTGTAGATCTATAGTATGTGTGTTCAAATGGAAGTGGATTTTCTATTGCATGTGCACTGGTAGTCTCACACCCTGATTGTCACACCTTGGTTTCACTTATCACATCTGCAGTTAAGTACATGGGCATACAAGAAAAACAGGCAAACGGGCGTGGTTTCTGAAACCTGAGAGAGTCACAAAAGTCTAGTTTGTTTAATTGTTAATCTTCACTTGGTGTTGCTTCGGGTTAAAAGGCGTCAGATTAACTCAATTGAATAAAGTATTTATATTATCCATTAAACGACTATTACTTTTCCAACTATTCGTATAGAATACGTAATTTTGTGAATGCAGCAAGCTCATTTTTGTAAATTCTTCATTTTATTTTTCTTGAAAAAACACTACCATTACATATATATTTCTCAAAATAGTAGCAGAATATTTTCCTCTTATGATTGATTTATCGAGTGATTTCCAGGTTCTTCATGCACTTTGTGGACTTGAAATATCTCTTCCATTCCTTGGATAGTTTGTGCATCCAGTTTTATTGGAGAGTGACTTCTCTTTTAACCAGGCTCAACCACAGCAGGCCCACATAATGCAGAGAAGATGGGAGGGGCTAGCTACACATCAGCCTCTTGTCTCTTGTGTGCAGAGGCACAGTTTACATGTGTGCAGCTTTGTGATTATGCACAAGGAAGTAACGTTTTTTTTGCTCTTGTGCTATTTTTGAAGTGTGTGCTCTTTAGAGAGGTTAAAGAGCTGCTGCACACTGATACAAACACATTGACCCTGCCTTTGCTCTCTGGCTTTGTTTAAAAAATAACCATTGCGGAAACTGTAATCTCACCTTGCATCATGTGACTAATGATATGGAAAATATACAGAGGTGCTGTGCACACACACACACACACACACACACACACACACACACACACACACACACACACACACACACACACACACACATTTGCTTTCAATGAAACATCTTGCGAATATGGCTGAATATGCTGAAACAAAAGACTTCTGAAGTTAATTAAATAAACCGTTTATATGAAACAGTGTGTTTCATTTCAGAAGTCTTCATCACAGTTTTTTTTTAGGTAGGCCTATAGGTGTTGAAGGTGGCAGTGACTCATACACTGTAAGCAAAAACGTGTGAATGTAACTTGTGAACATTTTGTAAGTGCAAATGGCATGTTGCACATACTAGTCACTTTATTTGATTTACAGAATTGTTGCCTGTACATTTTTAATATTCAAAATAAAGTAGCTGTAGTGTAAATGCATGCATGTCATGTCATTGTTTTTTTTTTGTACGATTGCTTGAGCAGTATTTGCAAAAAGGGACTCCTTTTGCCAAAACACTATTATGCAATTTACAGAAAAACCTAGACAAGTAGCAGAACACCCCAAGATATATTTTGGAAAATGAAACACTTGGTTCAAATCTATACAATCATTTAAAGAAAACATATTTGGAACTTTATGGTAAGAGCAAGGATCATAAAATCAGATTCTCTTTAGACCAGAATATTAGAATAAATTCTTAAGTATATTTCATAAAGATAATTAAAAAAAGACAGGCACCCTCATCTTTTGCATTTTTAAAGTGCATAAATCTGAAAGCAACAAAGTAATATATCAAAAGTCATGCCATTTTAATTTACAAAGTGCTAAATCACAAGTTATTTCAAGACACATAAAGAGCAACATTTTTGTGCTAAATAGAGAAGTGTCTGTGTGTATGTTTGTGTATAATGTTTTTTAAAGTGTGAGGCTAACAACGTGCTCATAGTTGTGAAGACCTGGTTCAAAGTTTTGCTACTTGAGTGTCCGTTTCAACAATTGTGCTTTGTAGGAAATGTCAGTGTTATGTATTGAAAAATCTGTTTTTCCTCAACGGCAACAATGTAGTTTAACAACGGCGATACACACATGCATATAAAGATGTGATCTACTCTATGTATTCATAGTATAGATATGTAAATGTGTCTTACTCACAAGGTTTTTGAAGATAGTTCATCAACTCTCTAAGCAGATGTAGTAAATGTGAACTGCTGTGTAAATACAGTATAAAGGGAGACATGGGGTGCAGAAGAAACATGAAACAGTACCTCTCTCACTACTGCCCCCACCCTGAAAAATGGAAAGGAAAAAACTGCCTGCTCTCACACAAACCTAAATACAAGTTCTGATCATCAAACTGAACTCCACCACAGTTTTGGTTGTGTTTTCTTTACTTTGGTCGATATGCTTTAGATATAGTGAAGCCATCAGTGTCTGTTAGAAGCAGTTCATGACTCAGCACGTTTACACATACAAGGAATTTGCTTTGGTATCTGGCGGTGCGAACATAAACAATCTAAGAAAAATAAGTTTTAATAGTAACCAAAAAAACGAATATATAAGGATAATGAAAAATAAGTATTTTTAAGAAACTGTTTAGCATTAAAAGAAAGAATACTAAAGAAAGGTATTTACACCAAATTTAAATGTAACAATACAAAGAACCATAAAAGCTAAAAAACTAAACATTTAGGACAATACAAATATGACAATATATGGCAAACTACAGTTAATTATATTTTAAAGTGGAGGGCTTTGCAGTCGTGTGCAAAACATTGTTATTGAGCTATAGCTTTGTGTGAATCTACTTATGTCTTTACGATGTTTTTCAGATCCGGAGTGGGCGTCCTACACCCTGGGAGTGTTTATGTGTCTCAGCTGCTCCGGCCTTCATAAAAACATTGCTCAGATCAGCAAGGTGAAATCTGTTCTTCTGGATCCCTGGAGCTCCTCTGAGGCGGAGGTAAGGACCTGTGTGTGCTGTGAAGGTGAAGTTATTTAAGAAGCCCTGAACAAAGTAAAAGCTCTGTGTTCTACAAGAGAAGACCTGCCTTGGTTAGCTCGGCTTGAGCGAACATCTGTAGCCACTGGCGTCTATGCCTGCCTCGCAGAGAGCCCCTGCATCCCTGCTTAGAAGAATAAGACAAGTCATCAGACTCAATTCAGCCCGGCTGAAAGGCATGAGCCAGCAGCTGGCAGGAACAACCAATATCTTTGTATGCGTGTGTGTGTGTGTGTGTGTGTGTGTGTGTGTGTGTGTGTGTGTGTGTGTGTGTGTGTGTGTGTGTGTGTGTTCTGAATCCTAGGACTCTCAGACTTTAAGAAAACATAAGTACTTTAAATTAATCAAGAAAAAGGTGAAAATAATGTTTTTAGTTTTTAAACTTCATACATCCTATCCAGATTAATTGTGGTATGCTGCTTTCCAGCTCGGTGTGCATCAACATGTTTGTGGTCTGTTCCATCATTGGCTCTTTCTCTCTGTGTGCTCCTTTCTTCGTCTTTCTCCCCTGATCTGCGTGTTTGTGTGATCGTTAGTTTCCTAGCTGCATGCTTATGCATGCTGAGCAGCGTTCTCTGTGATGAATACAGAGACACAAAAGAAGAAGCAGCCATGGCAGCAGCTCCGTCTCCCTCTGGGCATGAAGCAGCCACACAAACACTGAGCTGCAATCACCTCATTATGTGTGTGTTTTTGTGTGTGTGTGTTTTGTGTGTGCTACCGCTCCACATCAGCTAAATATACACACACACACACACACACACACACACACACACACACACACACACACACACACACACACACACACACACACACACACACACACACACACACACACACACACACACTCTCACGGCCATTAAGGCACAGACAATGCACGATTACACACAGATATCTCTTACAAACATCAGATGTTTCTCTTCCTTGCCTCTGCAGTTTATGGAGTCTGTGGGTAACAATGCAGCCAAGGCCAAGTATGAAAAGATAGTCCCTGCCTTCTACTACACCCCTACACACAAAGACTGCACGTGAGTGATGTGTCTTCCTCCACCCTTTTCTTAACGTCTGATTCAGGTTACCTCTTATCCTTTGTCCAGAATTTGACCAGGAGCGTGTGTTAACAGCGATTAACAGCATTGCAAACCTGGGTTGATTATATATTGTGGTTTTTGTTGCGAAGACACAGTCAAATGTTACTGATAACATCTAAAAGCCTGCAGCTATTGTTCTGCTGAAAGATGCATTCACTAGAAGTAGGGCAAAAAGTGGTTATCGTTGCCAGGCTAACATGCAAAAACTACTCGGTGATAAGGGTAGTTTTACCAGGAAGTACAAGTCGGTCAAGGTTTTTTTTCAACTGTCCTGAAAATATGAATATGCAACAACTTAAAACTAGAAGAGACCTGCAATGTGTTTATGAAAGATTATTGTTTAATGCAGTGTAAGGAAATTAGTGATTGGATAAAGACGAGAGTAAAATGTAGATACATTTTCTGCAAAGAGCTTTGAGCATTTTGGGAAACCATCTATTACATTAAATATCATGATGCATGATGATTAAGTATGGTGAAATGATGTGGTGTCTTGTTCAGAAGAATAATGAAGCTGCATTCCCATCCAAGGTGTTGCATGCTTTATAAATGTGAAGGATTATTATTAAGGGAACATGAACAGATAAGATTAATTTATCATGATAGATGGCATGAGGCCCAAGTGATGATTACAAGGTGATGAGCCATGTGTTGACACTGATTCTGATCAAAGCATGCATGAAATTGCTCAAAGCCTTCCATGGAAGTTAATGAGACGTTTCCAACAGATTAGCTTTAGCATGGAGTAAACATCAAACGTAGCTGAGTGTCTAACTCCAACTGTTGTGCAGGCTCCTGCGGGAACAGTGGATCCGAGCCAAGTACGAGAGGAAGGAGTTCCAGTGTGTGAAGAGGCAGGAGCCCTACTCAGCAGGTAGGAATACATCTCTGCTGTTATGAGCACAGGCCGGCCCTGACCAATGCCCTGCCCTGGGCAAGATTTTAGCAGGCGTCCCCCACAATTCACAATTAAAACAAAAGAGAAAGAAATATTTCACTTTATGCATAATGAATCTAGAATATATGAATGTTTCATTTAAAAAAAATAAATTACAGAAAATATAGTATTTTTTTCAGATGCACCTGTAGATTCAGCTTTAGCATCTAACCAGATGGCAAATAAGCAGTTAAGTGCAGTGTAATATAGCATATTAAAGATAAAGGCTAAGGTATGGAATTTAAGATGGGAGTAATTGACGTTAACTCTAAATATAACTATTGATTAGCAAACAAACAACCTTGTTATCGTCTAAAAGTAAGCTTGCAAGTTAACACTGTTCCATCAACGGTAACTACAATTCAATTGACTTTTGATTAATCATCACATGAAAGCCGCTACGGGGTTGCACAAGGGAGCTGTTTAGGTCCATTACTCTTTTCTCTCTATATGTTACCGCTCGGCGACATCATCAGAGAGTATGGTATAGATTTCCACAGCTATGCGGATGATACACAATTGCACATATCCGCTGAACCAAATGATGCGACAGCCATAAACTCCATTACCAACTGCCTGACAGCAATAAACAAATGAATGAACGATACATTTCTTAAATTGAATGAGGACAAAACTGAAGTCCTACTTGTTGGCCCCAAATCAAAAAGAGAGATGCTAACAAATAATCTAGGAAGCTTAACCACTTGGATTAAACCGGAGGTGACAAGTCTCTGTGTCATCCTGGACTCAGATTTGAGCTTCAACGCCCATTTAAACAAAATGATGCAGAGAAGCTAATTCATGCTTTTATATCTAGCCGACTAGACTACTGCAATGCACTATTCACTGGTCTCCCCAAGAAAGCTATTGGAAGACTCCAGCTCATTCAAAACTCTGCAGCTAGACTACTAACGAATACCAAAAGGAGGGAACACATTAGTCCTGTTTTAGCTACTCTACACTGGCTTCCTGTAACTTTTAGAATTGATTTTAAGGTGCTTCTCCTCACATACAAAGCTCTAAATGGACAAGGACCCAGCCACATTGCTGACTCTCTAATAAACTACACACCCGCCAGAACACTGCGATCATCAGATGCAGGTCTATTAGAGGTCACCAGAAAGAGTCATAAGAAGATCGGTGATGCAGCCTTTGTAAACTACGCCCCAAAACTGTGGAACACGTTACCCAACAATATTAGGGAAGCCAATACGTTAGACATTTTTAAAAGGCAGCTTAAAACCTAAAGTCTCTTTAAAATCTCTTTACCAAAGCATTTGACTGACTTTACAATATTATACTACACTATTTCTCTATGTTTTATTCCCCATGTTTTTATGTTTAATTATTTTATCCCACTTTATGCTTTGCTCTTGCTGCTTGTTTTACACTGATTTTA